ATCTCAAAAAGCAAGAGAATTTTTGCTATCCACTTTTGCAGCAGTGTGCATCACTATTTGAAAATGAGGCTTATGGAAACCGAGAGGTACATCCTTTTATGTTGCTGAAATATATTCAGTAAAAGCAATAAACAGAACACAAAAAAGAAAACTATTCCGAGAATTCCAATATTGCAGACTTTATTAAAATTCACAGCAAATCCAGTATATTAGTGAACAAGTGTATAAAGCTACAAATGCCAGCACTGCACACCCCCAACCAACTACAACCGCTCACATGTTTCACCCGAAGGCTTATTCATAACAAATACAGACCAGAATCTCACTTAAATGTGTTCAAAAAACTCCACTCTACACAGGTGCAGGAAGCAATGCTCGCTGATGGATAGGTTAACTCTAAACTCGCTGGTGTATAAGGGTCAGTAGAGCACAAAGAAACTACCAATCCCATCATACATGTTGTAATCGCCATACCAAATGGAGTCAGATGTTTGAACTCAATCTCACCAAACCGCAATCTCCCTGTCAACTGTGCAGGGTGAAAGACGGTGCACAGAAGTGAAATATATCAAATATCAAATATCAAACTCTTGCAAATGCATACAAATGTACAAGTGTATAAATACATACATAATTAAATAAACTATAACAAATGAGTGGCTCTTCTCACCCAAATAGACCAAAATAGCAGTACTATGAAACACAAAGCTTATTCGCCATGAACATATATACAGATATTTTACAACCATATCTACAGCCCGATATGTCAAAACAGGAGAAGAATGCCACTCATTAGTTAAAGGTAAAACCAAAATTGACATGATAACGCATGTAACTAAATAAATCAAAGGTGTATGTAAAAAAAACTGCATCCACAGTTATAAAAAGTGTAAGTGCACATTAAAAACAATATAAATCTGAAAAAATAATCACAAACTAACCTCTTGATCAATCTACAATGATGATGTATTATCCATACATGAAGTATCCAATGTAAAAAAACATTCTCAATCTACGATATTATATAAAAAGTAAAGTATTGAGATCTCATTAATGGATATACATTGATCATTAGCATAGTCTCCTAAAAATACTATCAATTAAGTAACAGATGATTACTAAAAATCTTTCTTATCATAAAGGTCTTATAATAAAATATAAATATTAAATATTATAATATATGCTCTAAGAACATCAAATATGATAGATATTATCTGGAAACTACACTACTCAGGCTAGTTAGGCGAACAGAGAAACCCACAAAAAGTAGCTGGTCCTAGGTTTATCTAAAATACTATATTCCAAGAACCATCAAGAAAAAGATCTTCTAACACAGGTGTCCCAGGCAATTGCCCAGAACCTTCCTCTCAATATTTCAGAAAATGTCAAAAGCACAAATGTATTATCAAGTGATAAATAAGACCAGAATCCATCAAAACTCATAACTGTTCATATCCCTCATAATAATATGTAACATCCCACTCAAAGTTTAAACCTTTAGGAATGCGAGTGTCTAACTTGAAAATCCTAAAAACGTCCCTTTTTGACAAAAGGGAAGCTCGATCCCCTCCTCTTAAAGGTGTATCAACTCTTTCCATAATCTGTACCTTAATACTTTTACTATTACGATAGTGACAAAAATGTTTAGCTACGTTAGTATTCTTACAGGTTCTAATATTGGATAAATTATCTCTCATGCGGTCACACAGTTGTCTTGTGGTCTTACCTATATACTGTTTGTGACAGATGGCACAAGAAATTATATATGTAACAAATCGGGTCTGTTCGTATACTGCTGCATTCTAAGGTGGAGACGCAACAATTGGACCAGCACCTGGGGAGTCCTGATGGTGGCTAAGGAATTGGAGCGGTGAGATTTCCTTTGGCTCTACAAGACAACTATTATTATTGTAAGGTGAATTATTTGGTGCTTATGAGTGAAAACAGAAAAGCAGAATGTAGGGAATGTGCATCTCCTTTGTAATCTCAAAATATGTTTACCAATTAATATTTTGCCATACTTGATTTGTGTCCTGATCTTCGTCACTGGAGAAAACAGTAAACTGAATTGCTTCTACATTGCAGACTCATTAATGTAAAAAACAAAAAAGAGTTTCCTAATCCAAAACCATAAACTGATGACACTGGCTTCAATAGCATGAAGGGGCTGATTACAAAGGGACACTTGGGAGCAAAATAAAGCCTCAAAGTTCTTCCTAAAATACAACCAAACAGTTTATAATATTCCAGGGTTTCTCAACTTGGAGTCTGCAAAAGGTCGACAGAGGTTCTTCCACCTGAGGTGATGAAGCCAAAGGAAGAGAAGCAGTGATGTACCTAGAAAAAAAGGTGTGGCTGGCGGCGGCGTATGTGTGTGCAGAGGGCTGGCAATACTGCAACACTTGACAGTAGGGATAGTGACTTCCCTGGATGGGTATCTGACAGAGAAGAGTAGCCAGGAAACCAGGGTGGGCTGCACAACCCAGAAAAGGTGCCCTGGGACATGATTGAAATGCTCAGCCTGGAAGTATGGAGCTCGGAATTAATAGTCCTGGGGCTGCTGTGATGCAGGTCAGTGTCGTGATTAAAACCCTCAACCTGGAAGCGTGGAGTTTTAGACACAATAGGTTACAAATGCTGCCATGGTTTTGGCTCTCTACTCATCTCTGTGCACCTCCTGTACCCAGATACACCATAGGAAGTTCCAAAGTTTTCAATTGAACAGGTGTCCTCACTGGAGGATTCCCCCTCAAGTTCTCTTCCGGTGGTAATAGTCACCAGGAGAAATAGTGACAGTGGATCTCTACTGCCATGACACAGATAATACAATTCTGAGAGAGGTTCTAACTTTTCCCAACAGAAAATAGGTCTGGCTTTTTAATACCAGCCAGTGGCAGAACTACCACCATAGCGACCGATGTGGTCGCTATGGGGCCCGCAGCACTGGGGGGACCCCGATCCCCGCTGCTCTCCCCCGCTTGTATGGGCTGAGGCAGCGGGAATCCGAAAAAAAATGGACGGCGGAGGAGCCGCTGCCGTCCTGAAACTGACAGGAGGACAGCAGCTCCGCTCTCCTCC